ACAAATCATCCCAGTTGCGTCAAAAAAGACATTCAATTTTTCCAACGGCGCTTGGATCAAAATAAGAAACAAAAGCAGTTTATGAAATCGGCGGTTACGGTTTCTGAAAAGGCATTAGAAGCAAGCTACCTTGTTGCAAAATTAATTGCACAACAAAAAAAACCGCACACTATCGGTGAAACGCTTATTAAACCAGCATGCATGGAAATTGTTAGACTTATGCTTGGGCCAAACGAAGTTAAGGACGTGAGTAAAGTTTCTTTGTCGGCCGATACTGTTAAAAGACGTATCCAAGATATGTCAAGTGATATTTTGGGAACACTAATTAAAAAAATCATTTCGGCTGGAATTTTTGCGCTTCAAATCGACGAATCAACCGATATTAAAAATAAAGCACAACTGATGGCTATTGTACGTTTCGTTGACGAGGACTCTATTAAAGAACATTATTTATTTTGTAAGGAGGTTCCAGAGAGAACTACCGGTGAACAAATTTTCCAAGTAACTGATAATTTTTTTAAAATACATAATATTCAGTGGACCAATTGCGTTGTTATTTGTACAGATGGTGCTGCTGCAATGATGGGCAGTAAGAAAGGTTTTGTATCTTGTGTAAAACAAAAAAATCCGTCAATACAAATTACACATTGCTGCATACATCGAGAAGCATTGATGGTCAAAAATTTGCCCGAACAGCTTTCGATCACAATGAATGAATGTATTAAGATCATAAACATAATTAAATCGAGAACCTTAAATTCGCGAATCTTTGGAATGCTCTGTGAAGAAATGGGAAGCGAACATGAATCCTTACTGTTTTATACAGAAGTTCGTTGGTTATCCCGGGGAAAAGTTTTAGCTCGACTGTTTGAACTTCGCTACGAAGTGCGTGAGTTTCTTTCAAGTCAAGATATGTACGATCTATGCCAGCACCTTCATGATGAATACTGGATAGCCAAACTTGCATACATGGCGGATATATTCGAACATCTGAATGAACTTAATAAAAAAATGCAAGGACGGAATGAAAATATATTGACGTGCTCCGATAAATTACAAGGGTTCAAAAAGAAACTTGAACTTTGGCAGGAACAGTTGCAAAAAGGATGTCTAGAAATGTATCACAGGACCAACCACAGTACGATCGAAAACAAGCAGTTGATTGTGGATTTGGCCCAACAACATTTAAGTATGCTTCAACAAAAATTTGAATACTATTTCCATTCTATCAACACGGAACAATACAATTGGATTCGAAATCCTTTTGCAACCAATGCAATAAGTTCCACGGAAGCACTGCCATTGCAAACTCGAGAGGAGTTCACAGAATTAAGTAATGATACGACCCTAAAACTTAAATTCGACGAAGTTCCGTTAGATGTTTTCTGGATTTCCATCAAGACAGAATATCCACGCATCACCGACAAGGCCATCTTCACACTACTTCCGTTTTCCACAACATATTTATGTGAGCAAAGTTTTTCAACGCTTGTATTAATTAAAAATGATAAACGGTCATGCTTAAAAGATCTTGACCAAGAAATGAGAGTTGCGCTGTCTAAAATTGAGCCGAATATAAAACTTTTGTGTTCAACGAAGCAAGCGCAGGTATCACATTAATCAGTCATCATCATGTCAAAATATTTATTACTATTGACGTGTCAACAGAAGTAAATTTAGTATACCTACCTGTCCTACCTAGTATTTAGTATAGTTCTCATGTATGTACCTATTTGTATTTTTCATTCTATCTGAATAATAAAAAAAAATAAAAAAAAAATATGTATTATGTCCTGAGTGAAAATTTTGATGCCCCAAATCTGAAAGGGGCTTCTTCACATTTTAAAACAATAAAAAAAACTAAGGTAGTTTGGACATCCATAAATAATTAGTATACATGGAGTGAACTGACCCCCGACCTAGCTACGCCACTGCTATAAATATATTTTAGATTTTGGTGTGCCACGAAATTCTAGGGAGCAGTTTGGTGTGCCTCAGATGAGGAAAGGTTGCGGAGCACTGCATTACACTACTCGCAAGTTTTCAATTTAATAGTTTATTTATTTTTTTAAAAACTGAAAGTCATTTAAACACAAAAACTTATATTACATTTAAATAGATTATTTTGATTAATTTTGAATGGGTAAGTTTAAAATTCAGTTTGTATTTCTAGGTGTTTTGTATATCATAATTGAGAATTTATTTATTCTTTTCACTAAAAATTATTTACAAAAATAAGTTCATGTTAAACGTATGCACTATGGTACAGAAGTCCACTATTTTGGCCAAAACTATTTTATATCCTGAAGCTGAATTAACTTATTTGTTTCAATATATATAATTTGGTTTCTAAACAATCTCTGAACAAACTTTAAACATTTTAAAGAAGCCCACTTATATAATTTTTGGTGATGATACTTTAAAATCTAACTGTGACCATAGTCTAATTTATTTATAGTTCATTTATTTAAAACACATTATTTAAAATTTATTTCAGATGTACTAATTAATTTATATAATACTTAGACACTAACAATTTTAATTTATTTATTACACCTTAATTTTTCATTACAATGCTCAATACTAAACTAAACTGTGTGCCTATAAGTCGGCTATTTATACCAAGCCAATTTTGTGTTCGTAGTTTCTAGATATTTCCGAAAAATTCCATTTCTATGACTCAACGGCAGTTTCTCGAAGCGTCAGTGACATACCTAGAAGATTCCATTTCTTGTATATTCGAGATGGTCTCCTTTAGGCTTGATGGTTGGTAGTCAATGTAATAAAGAAATACAATGGGACAAAAGAGGATTGGCGAGTGAGATTAATAACCACCAGATCCTCGGCATAATGTCAGTCTCGCTGTACTCTACACAAAAGGGTCCAAAACTGGATAAGATATGAGAGCGGGAGTTTTTGCCAGAAGCCAAAAGTTGACATATACACATATAGAAAGCATAGACAGATAGAAAGCATAGACAGATAAAAAGCATTTGATAGTGTACCTCATCCCTGACTTCTTAAAGTCCTGCAGATTTACAACATCCACCCAACTATTGTCAGTTTCCTTTCAACAATAATGAAAGAGCAAACCTGCATCTGCATCTCGGCCCAAACTCCATTTATACTGACGAAGTACCCATCCGTAGAGGAATCTACCAAGGTACCTCTTTAAGTTGTAGTTCTGCCTCGCAATGAATCCCCTCTCCACCATACTCAATGACACGAAATACGGATTTAAAATTGAGGCTAATAAAAATACTAACTGTACAATTTTTTATCTTCTTAACATGGATAATATCAAGCTGTACGTAGCAAACCAGCCTCAAATTAATCATTTTCTAGATACAACCCATAGATTATCTAGTTATATAATAAAATGGAGTTTGGTCTCTCCAAATGCAAAACCCTTTACATCGAAGAAGACATTGCCATATACGGGAAGCTTACAAATACCTAGCAATCCAACAAGCTAGGTTACTGGACCACAAGCAGGCAAAAGGTAGTAATACACAAAAAAGTTAAAATCACTTATAAAGTCTGAGTTAAATTCAGGCAATTTAGTGCAGGCAATCAACACCTACGCCATTCCAGTTTTAACTTACTCCTTTGGGATCTTAAGATGGACAGAAACCGAGTTGGAGGCTATTCAGAGGCCTACACTATTGGAACAATGCTACCTCGGAAGGAAGGAGGAAAGGGTTTAACCTTATTAACTCTCGACAGGTAGTAAAATTACGATAGTTTTTTTATAGGAAAGCCGACATCTCAGACCTACATGGAATTATATCCAATGCTGATAAGGTTTACTCGCCTCTGAATCTCGCCTTTCCCTAAGCAGATTTCAATGTAGTTTCAGATATGGAAAAAGTGGAATAATTGCCACAGAAGGCATTGCACTGCAGACACCACCACGATCTAAACCAACCCCATATTGAGAAACAAGCTTTAAATAGATAGTTTATTAGAACGATACCCTCTTTCCAGAAACTCTAGTGTTTTAAGACCGCTATTTAAGATCAGGTCATCAATACGAATAATTACTGTTGCACTTCGAACAAGTAACAAATCTACGACCTCTGTCTAAGTGGTTGCAAACAGGAACCTGGTATCTTTACCTTTCGTTTTAATCGATTAAGGTACCAAACGGTTTACTTTTGACAATGCTCCACCATGAAGAAGGTGTGGCTTCAATTGCTAGGTTCCTGTTTTAGCCCTATGTTTTTTTCTGTATTGTTCTTTATTTTGTGCTGTTCGAATAAACAAAAATGACACACAATGTCAACTTTCGTTTGTCTTGACGCGCAACCTTTTGGATATTTGAGTGAAATGGAATAATATGAGCTGATGATTTGGCAAATAAATTATGCTACTTAAGCTACTAATACTGTCAAAATTATCAATTACTAAAAGTTGAAATTTATCCTGCTTTATTATTATTTTTTGTATCTTTTTGTGTATTTTAAATTTTAAAATATTTATATTTATGTTTCATGGCTTAGATTATTATTTATCTATTAGATTTATTATATATTCTTTGTATGAAATGTGTGTTATATATTTATTTGTCCTATAATTGGATTTATTCAGTTGGGCAATAAAGTTTATTATTATTATAAGAGTTGAAATAATGTAAGAGTTGTATTTAAACTGGTAAATCCAAAACTATTCCAAACTTCGTGACGCTACATGGGCCAATTACACAATACAAACCTGCTTTTAATTATAAATAATATTTTGCGAAATTTACATACTTTTGAATTTACTCGCGTTTCATGCTATTAATAAAAAATTTAATATAGCGCATATACTTTCATTAATTATTAAATCACCTCCCTTTGTATGAAACCACCCACATACTAGTTTTGTTCATTTTGTACCATATCATAGAAATTTCCATTTAATTAGCTTTTGAGCCTATCCGCACGCTTAGTTTTTGTATAGTCTGCAATATTTTTAATTTATTAATCAAATTTCTATAATTTTATTTTTTTTTCCAGAGAGGTCAGGGCAGCGACAGCAGCACATCATCTTCTTCCTCTGGATACTCTGGAAGAGGGCGTCCAACCAAAGTGAGTACCGTGTGCAAACTAACCAAATTTAAACTGAAGAACTATACTATTGTCGGTGAAAATTGGACAAAAAAATGCAAAAATTTCATATTTTTAAATCTTTTGTGTGTTATTATTATCAGCGTTAAATTGACTCATTGGAAAATCCACCAAACGTGAACTCTAGGCATTATTTTGGTCTTCAATATACTGTACACTTTGTTACTGTCTTTCAACAAACTTTTTGCAATGCTGTTATTTACGATCCAATAATAGAGAATAAAAGGAAAGTTGCAGGAAGAATTTTTGGAAACAACCAAAATTTTATTTAAAAAAATATATATATTGGTTTTGTTGCATTTAGAAAAGTATTTACTGACTTAACAGAAGAAATTCATAATCCTTGACAACCACTAATTTTAATAGAAAGTTATGAAATAAATATTTTTTCCTACGACCACTTAGGAAAGTGACACATATCACACTATATAGTCCTATGGAAAGTGCCTTATATCACACGCGTATGAATAAGAATTTACTTTCCACCCGAGTGAGAATATGTTACTTTCCGCAGTTATTGTCACAAAATGTCAAACAGCTAATTTCCATTTTGATCTATGTAATATCCATATTAATACTAAAATCGATATGATTGTTAAATTATTGAAATTGTTGTAAATTAGATCCTAGATATTTATCTTTAACAATTATTATTAAAATAATTTTAAAATAATGTTTGCTCTTTATTCTGGTTGAATACATAATCGATTAGATCATTCAATTGACACAAGGGCTATTAGCTCAGGTGGTTAGGACGTCGAACTTATCAACTTTGCCATTTTTCGACCGCGTTCAATCGATGGTTCAAATCCTGGCGTGGCAGAAATTTTTTTTGTTTTTTTTTTGTTTTTTTTTTCTAGTTTTTTTTTTGTTTAAAAAATATGAAAATTGAATAAATACGATTATTATTGTTGATTATTTTTTTAAATACATTTTAATTATTATAGTAATAATAACCTTGGTTTTACATTTTTTAGATGATAATATTTTGTGGTCGTAGGAAAAATATTGTACATCACTTGTGTGAAATGTCACTTTCACATACGTTTGGACGTATGAAATGTACGTATATATTTTACTTGTTTTAAAAAATTGTTCAAATCGATACAATGAGCAACTGAAGTTGCTGTGTTGTAAATTGTAGAAATACTAGCAAAAAAAATAGTTTATAAAACCTATTATTACACCAATTTGAAACCAATGATCACCCAAATACTTCAACCCTTATTGTTTATAACACCCTAGTTTAAAATGATAATATACAGTTGAAGATAATTAACCTTACATTAATTAAATTATTCATATATTCATTTTTTCTTTTTTTATTCTAATTAGTATATTCAGGACCACATAATACTAATATCTTGCTAAATAACACTAAGTCAAATTTCATCTACTAGTGAGATACAGGGTATTAAAAAACCGATACTTACCTGCTTTTACCATGCTCTTACATAACAATATACATTTGATGACACTCCTCAGGCACTCACAAATCAATAAATTGATGTCTTATATACTCTATCTCTAGGAAAAATTAAAAACAAGCCACTGATTACCTAAAACCTCAGTTGAAACATTTTCAAAACGAATATGCTTATAGATTATATTTAAATTAGTCATAGGTACCTTAAAGCTGTTTGAAGTTGACTTATAATTAGCGCCAAAACTCGAGCGAATATCTAGTTATCAGTTGTTTCGCGATACCGCTCGATGGCAGACTTAATTCATCACTCAAAATCAAGTCAGTTTCAATGGTATAGTAGGAAGGATGCCATGCATCATGACATCTCTTCGGTAATTTAGCGATATCGATTTAGGAAACGCGAAACAGACTATGAAACTACATACATCCGTACGTATGTAAGCAGAGGTGTAGGTTGGAAATTTTCAATTGCTCGTGGACAAATTTTATGGGTAAATTCTTTTTTTATTTTAGTTTTAGCAGTTCTCCTCACTGGAAGTTGCAGAGTTCATTTGGTAGGTTACATAGGAAAAATATATATATAACAAAATTATTTATATGTTCATAGTTTCAATTTATTTATTTCTAATATTAAATTGGTTATTTTTCTTTCTTATTTTCTCTTCTTTTTAGCTTTTTTCTTCCTATTTTTCACTTTCCTCTTTATGTAAATCAATTCTCTGACGAGCATATATAAATAACTGTCCAAATCATTTTCGCTATAGATAACGAGTAAGGTACTTTCTTCTAATTTGTAGAGTTGGTTCGCCAATTTCACATCTCAAACTTTACAATGGGTACAAAAGGCTCCTGTTATTAATTGTAGAGCTGCGCTTTGGATGGAGTCAAGTTGATTTGTAATGTTTTTTTTAGCTGATGCATATACAGTTCATCAAATTTCTAGAGGCTTTCGACGGCTAGACAGAGAAAGCACTACTGACAGGCATCCCGACGGATTTACGCAATGAAAGTACACTCTGCGCATCAAGTATTTCACTATTTCATTCAGACGTAAATGTCAGATGTAAATTTCGCTAAAACATTTCTTTTATTTTCGTTTGTGTTTTTTGCTCATTACAGTTTAATAGAACCTAAGTATGGAGTTTAATAGCAAATTAAGAGGCCGCGTGATTAACAGTCAATCTCGCGAAATAATAGCCAATGTTATAGAGTTTATGAGAAGAGAAGGAAACTTTAATTCACCTTCAATACCATTTTAAAATGTAAATGATCGTGTTGCTGCAGCCACAGGAGTATCTAAAAACCCTGTCGTCCGCATTTCTGGAGAGAAAAAAAGAATCGATAACCGTGAGATATCGGAATTTTCATCACCAAGAAAAACCATTAAAAAACCAAAAACAGTTAATGATATAGATGAAGCTGCACAAGAATCAAATTTTATTTTTTTATTATTAGATAGCTATTTTTGTTTCTGAGTTGTGTTCATTTACAGGCTCAATTTTTTTCCGTTTCTCCTTTTTGATTTTATATGGGGTTTCAAGTTGTTTTTGACTTATTTCGACGTAAATCACAACAACACACTTTTTTAATAAAGCAAACAAGTGTTAAGAGGTATATGTACGTGTAAACTACAATTACAAAAAATTGATATGAAACCCATGGAACCACCAACAAAAATGTAAAGCTAGCTTCCGTACTAGAACATGGTGTCATTCGTCGAGATAATTTATCGTTTTGTTTAATAGATCAAGAAATGTAAATATTCCCCTGTTATTTTTTATAAAATTATAAGAGAAATAAATTTTTTTCTAAATAGTATAGTTTATTATTTTGTAGAAAAACAAAATTTCGAAAATTTTAGTAATGTTTCAGAAACAACCGTTATTAATAATAGGTACCATTTTCCTTAATAAGGTAGAAATAAAATATAAACTATTTCCACGATTTACAAAGGCCTACAAAAAAATTATAGGTATTTTCCGCTATCCTATAAAATTTATATTTTCTGACTCAATTTCAAAAGGTTGAAGGAATTCCAAAACACCTTTTATGGCATAATAATTATTTTCAATTCTACATACTATCTTCAGCTGCTTTTAAAAACGTTCTAAGAAAGTCCAATCAGACCAATTTAATCCCTAAACTATTCCACACTTTTAAAATTTAATTACCTAAAAATATTAAAAACTATTTAAAATAACTTGTTTAGCAGACTGTACAATAGCTATCTTAGTCACACGTAGCGCGTTTTCTGTCTGGGCGTCGAACACCTCTAGAAATTTGATGAACTGTACTATGGATTCATGGTCTATTTTGGAACGTATTAGTGCTTTGTATACATGCATTAGAATGAAATAGTCTGATCCCCATTTGATGTTTGAAAGTGTTCTAGCAAATTTAATGAATTTTGACAAGATTTATTAATATATTCTATGTGGTAATTCCAGGAAAAAATTATACCTAAGAATTTTATGTTGCCTACATAGTTTAGAGAGCGGTTGTTAAGTTTTAGTTCTAGAGTAATAGGTCGATGTTTTTTGGAAAATATCATACATTCGTCTTGTTGGTCAAAAACTGCAATCCCGATACTTTTGAACAATTTTCTAGTGAACTCAGACCTTGTTGTCCTCTAGAAAATTATACCAGATCATCGTCATAAATCTACCTTTAACAAGTGTTCCAAAATATCATTAATTGCAATAAGGAAAAGAGTAGCGCTTATTACAGAACCTTGTGGAGTTCCATTACTTTGAGTTTTGGTCGAAGAATTGCAATTATTAACTCGTACTCTGAAATTTCGTTCCTTGTCTTGTCTGCGAGTGCTTCGTGTATATTAGATTCTAAGAGCCAGTTTTACAATCACAGTTTAAACTTTTGTTCATCTGGATCAAATATAGAACTCAGATTACCATCAATAGCGTTTTTCAATTATGCCAGTATTACAGTAATGCGAACTAAGTTTAATTTATATTGGTAGTTTTAAATCCAACAAAACTGAATGCTTTATGTCAGTTTAAAGATTTTAAAAACATATTCATTACCAGTGAAGATAAAAAATTGTACGAAATAGCAAAAATTTGACGGATTACCAATTTTTCGAGTAACAAAGAGAATTGTTGGTAAATTTTAGTTGCTGTACTTATGTACTCTACTTGTTGGTGGTAATTATGAAAAATATCGATGCAAAAAATCGTAAACAGAAACATGACTTTAGGAGTTAAAGCATTATTTCTAGAAAATAAAATATATGTTATTATGAACGTCATTATCTTCTATTTATCTTCTATTTTATTAATTGGTCATTTTCTTAGACAAAGAATGCATATTTCTCAAACCAGAAATAATTAAAATTTAAACCTAATAATCGATTAGTTTTAAACAATCTTTTTTTTTTCGTATATCCTTTAAAATCGATTATCTTTGAAAAGTCTTAAATAATCGATTAATTAAAAAGCCGATTCACCATGAAATCGATTTTTCCGAGAAAAATAATCGAATTATCAATCATCAATCTATTTTATTTTTGTAATTCCTT